AAATTTTCACTGGTTGTTTATATTTGCATTTTCTATGCACGATTACATTTTCAAAATATTTTGATTTATTTTTAACTGTTTAGGGACATTTTCATTTTTCATTTATTTTTAGTTTTTTTTCTAGAAATATCAATAAAATTTTATTTGTTGGTTAAAAAAACTTTAAAACTTAATAGAAGGCTCCTAGTATATTGTTTCAAAGGCAGATGAAAAATATTAAAAATCGTTTGTCACATTTTTTTTTTTATAAGCATTTAAAGTTCAAAAATTAACAAAATATGGAAAAATCACGAAAATTAGCAAATTATTTTGAGTTAAGAATTCGTAAAAATTTTTCTTTTTAAATCTAAGATTTGAAAATGTAATACAAGATTACTCATAAGATCGTCTACCTTTATCAAAAAAAAAATGTCTATAAGAAAGTCAAATTAAATTTTTATGAGCGTTTGAAATTAAAATTTTTACAACATTGGATATTAACTTGATTTCTCATGTAGCGATTTTCTTATTTTGTTGTAATTCAAAAACGAATAACTATAGATACATGAAAATTTCACTGAATGTTCAGATTAGCATTTCCTATACGCTGTACAATTTTGAAAATATTTTGACTCTTTTTGAGCTGTTTACGGACATTTTCAGTTTTCAATTTTTTTAGTTTTTTTTTTTATAAATATCAATAAAGTTTTATCTGTTGGGCCAAAAAGTGTAAACATTTAATACAAGGCTCCTGATATATGGTTACAATAGCAATTGAAAAATATAAAAAATACATAGGCACAATTTTTTTTTATAAGCATTTAAACATCGAATTTTGACTACATTTATCAAAATCTCGAAAATTATCAATCATTGTAATTAATAAATTATAAAATGTTCAGTTCTTATAGCTAAAGATTGCAAATTTAAAACAAAGGTTCTCATAAATAGTTCATACTGTAAAAAAAAATCTAAAAAAATATATGAACACAGTTATTATAGTATATTTTGTACAGACATTTTAAATTCAAATTTGGATGAAATTACATATTAAAATTAATATTAACGATCTTTGTTTTTGTTGTAATTTAAAAATATTATTCGGGGATATATGAAACTGAAAAATCAAAATATTATGGCCTATCCATACAATCTACCATAGTATAAGGAATGAGAATTATGCTCATGATAAGACTGTGCATATTTTAAGGAATTTATTCATAAATTCCATATAATTTAATACCATAGAAAAGTATATAATATGTCTTATACCTAGACTGACATACCGTCTCCGCTCAGAATCGTTTTTCTTATACAATGATATTATATCATTGCATTCAAATTTAATACCATCCATTATACAGTGACCCACTTGTAACCTACAGTACAGCAGAGCGACATCCACTTACCCACCTTTTTTTAAATAGAGTTGGCATGTTTTTAAAATAGGTTGGACCTAAGTCCACAAAATATTGCCTATATATAATATATATTATATATACAATATATATTTAGTAATACAGTCGAGCAGTCGACTCTCAGCAACACAATCCTTAATAACTCGAAATTCTTGATATTTAAAACAAGTAAAATTTCACTTCAAATAAAAATAACACTTAAGTAATCTTTAAATTATCTTGTTAAGTGTTAACACAAAAATTAATTGGGCAAGTCATTGATGTCTCGAATTTTCTTATCCAAATGTAGTACTAAAAATATGTAGTATATCAACGTGATTTATAAAACCAAACACTTGCAAAATTACTAAACTAACCATTATTAGCATATATAGCCCATAGTTCATAGGCATTGAAGGTAAGGACGATTTATTATAAACACTCGATTGTTTAGAAAATACAATTGAGTGGAACTTAAATAAACAGCAACAATTAACCTTAGACTAATTCTTCAAAAATGATGGCATGATGTAAATAGGTACTAAAATGTATAAATATAAATTTGGATATTTTTTTAAGCTACATACTATAATTTAAAAATAAATGAATACTTTTTTAAGATTTTGATAATTTGAAATTTTTAGTAGGTAATTCAAATTTTTTTGTTGCACCCCAAGTGAACTTATAGTTAAAGAGAGTTAACTATATCTTGTTCTAGCATTCTAGGTTTCTTAATCCTTCAGGAATATCGCATTCTAAATTTCTTATAACTGAAATATCGTTTAGTTCGTAGTGTTCGACGTTCGTACTTCGTAACGAGTCAGGACTCTGATATGTTTGATTTTATATTTATGTATAACATATTTTGGTCTAAAGCCTTTTACAAACTTTTCCAAGGCTTCAAGCATTTTATTTAAAAAATTGAGAGGCTTTTCTTGTGATTTTGCTTTTAAATAATTATCTAAGACTTGTGCCATTTGGTGGAAGGTTTCTTTTTCTAATAATAGAAAAGTTTACGTTGCTGTCATTGTCAGTCATTACCCATATTATTCACACTTCGCTCAGAATCGTTTTCATATACAATGACAGTATTACTAAATCACAAAGTAAATTTGAAACTTTAAAGCCGACCGAGCTCTCTGGATTTTTCAATAAAGACTATCATCGCGTTTTGAAGAAGCTTTACTTATTGAACCGTCGGCATTGAGGATAGTTTCTAGGGCATGATTTTCGTTCTAGTTGTTGCTTTGGGAGATCAAAAATAAACAACTCCCAGTATACATACAATTTTCAGTTTTCTTGATTATTACGGGAAAAATAAAACAAATAATTGTGCAAAAATGAATGTTTTTGAATCAAGTAAATTTTATTTTATTTTTCATTAGAATTCAGAAAAGATTTACACTTGGAAATGTATTTGAAATTTTTGTGGACATTTTAAATTCAATATTTGGTGATACTAAAGAACTACCGGCATATTTCTATTCTTTCTCACTTGTCCAAAACATTCGAATCTTTAGTCTTAGACAGTATAATGCCTTTTCTAAATCCAGTCCTGACTCCTGATAGATGAGCAGCATGGTCTCCGCCCGGGGCGCTCTACTGAAACTTGTAGTGTAACTTTCACTAAATACATTTATGACGCCTTCAAATGCGGGTCCCAGTAGACGTTATATACACTGACTTTGCCAAAGCGTTTCACTCCGTAAACCATGAAATGTTAGTACCTATCTGTTCTGGAGGCTCTTGGATTCGACTACCCTTTCCTTGGCTGGATATGGTCCTATTTATTTAGTAGGCCACAATGGGTTAAGCTATACGGAACAAAGTCTCACATATTTACCTCGAACTCTGGTGTCCCGCAAGGCGGACCCTTATCTCCTATCCTGTTCTAGTTATTCATAAACAGTGTCTCTAATATCCCTCGTCATTGCAAGCTTCTATGTTTTGACGACGACATAAAACTTTTTCTCAAAGTTGATTCGTCGACTGACTACACGCACTTACAAGAGGACTTGGACCACTTTGTTGTGTGGGGTGATTCTAGCTATTGGTTTATCCCTCAATGTCAATAAATGTAAGTCTATTTCCTTAGCTAGATGCCGTTTCCCTCATAAATTCTCCTACTCTATTATAGGCTCCGTCTTTAATTCCGTTGATACTGTTACTTGTGATCTCGGTTTCATCCTAGTTCCCTCACTCTCTCCTGGAGCCCGCATTGACTACATAACAAGCAAGGCGTTTAGGACGTTAGGTTTTATTAAAAGGATTGCTAGTGAGTTTGAATTACCTAGATCCCTAAAGGCACTCTATTGTGCGTTGGATAGGCCCATCCTCGAGTACGGTTCTGTGGTATGGAATCCCCAATCACTGGTCCACTCCCAATCTACTGAACGTGTCCAACGTAATTTGTTCAGCTTTGCTGGGTTTAAGCTTAATATCCACCATCCGACCATCCTCCACATGAATATGGCCTGGTATCACATAGGTTCAATCTACTTCCACTGGCAAGTCGCCACTCTGCTCGAGGCTCGCTCTTCCTCCAAAACCTATGGGAAAACCGATTCACCCGCTCTCCTTCAACATATTAATTTAAGGGTCCCTGCACGCCATACTCGTAACGTTGCCTCTTTCGTTAGGTATATCGACATTAAGCACTAACTATTTAATTAAACAACCCCTTACTCGTTGTATGAGACATGCAAATCTAGACCCCTCTTTCTCTTACCTACTCTAGTTTATTTGTAATTTTTTTTGTAGTTATATATTGCTATTAGTTCTATATCTTTTTAATCTTAATAATGTAAATATTAACTTTGTTTTTATATTTAAATTGGGCTTCCACCCGTCTTATTAATAATAAATAAATAAATATTTTCTTCATTGTACAATAATTGTATTCAAATCTAATAAACATTCATTATGTATACCTATATTCAGATACAACATACGTTAATCCCCCGGGCTTGCTCGTCATCTCTGAGAATATCGTTATGGCCTCGACGACCGACGTCGCTTTGATAATACTCGTCGGGTGTAATAATAACAAATTATAATATAATATTAAAAATAATGATATATTATTCAATATCGCTGCAGGTCAAGTAAAAGTTTTGAATAAAAACCGAAACTGGTGTCGACATCTGTGCGCGCGGTTGACCGAAGCGCGCCATCTGTAAGTAGCGCTCGCTTCGTCAACATCGCTACCGGCGCGTCGTCTGTCGTCGTCGACTGGTCGGCAAAAAGTTCACGGCCGTTCGTCGTCGGCGGTGGTGGCGGCGGCGGCACCCCGCGCTGGCCAGATCCAACCCTTCACGTGGCGGTGCGGCCGTTGTCCGCGGGGGGTGGCGGTGCAATCAATAACGACGCAACCCTTATGCGTCGAAGCCGGCGCGGCGGATTCAGCCGACGAGACGCGTCGTCGTCGTCCGTTCACCGCCTACGCCGCGCCGCTACCGAAATTTAAACGACCGACACGAGCGCCGCCGTCTCCAGTCCACCAACGCAACCACCCTCCACACCACCACACGCCGAGCCGTACCACTGCTACCACTCGCGAAAACCCGCAAAACGCGTGCCACCGCGCCCCGAGATTACGTATTTTTGTTGTTTCGCCGGACGCGGATGAACGCCGACCGAGCGCGCGCCGCAGCCGTACATCGATCCGTACACGTGCGTGGGCGATACGGCGCTAAACACATCCCCCGCCGCCCACGAGACGCGTCTCTCAATCGGCGATTGTGCGATCGCCGTCGCTGCTCGCTGCACACACTCCCGACGACAGACGTGTACACATCGCGGTCACAGCACCGTTTACCAGCCACTGTACAGCAACCGCCTGCGGGTGGTACCAAGTGAGTAATAATAACACCTCGACGAAATACCACCTACCTACGCGTTAAGTATAAAAATCGTAATAAACTGAGTGTGTCGATCGTGTGACGATCGGTTTAAAATATTGTATTAAATCCCGTCACGCGTCGCCGTGTATTGTAACACAATATTATCGTCACAATATTACAATATTATCGTATCGTATCAGTGCCGCGGGTGCCGGTGCCAACGGTCGTCTGGTCGGCGGTGACCGACATGGACCGCCGCGCCGAACCACCGACCACATCGGGCGCGACGCGGTCCTGCTGCTGCTGCTGTTGCCCGACGACGGGACGGACCTGCTGGTCGTCGACACGCGCTGCGGCCGCGCGAACACGTCCCGCCGCTAGTACGTGAGATCGCTACTGCTGCTGCTGCTGCAGGGCTCCGTCCACGGCGGCGACGGTGACGACGGTGACGACGACGACGACGTCGTCGTCGACCACTGTGCAGCGAAGGTGCAGGCGGCGGATGAGGCGACGTGGTGATCGCCGGTGGTGGCTTTTACCGTCACAGCAGCAGGTCGTCTCTCGACATCGGTTTACGTGATAATTATGGTCGTGGCCGCAACCATGGCCAGCATGGATGACCACGAGCGGAAGATAGTCGTCGAGTTCTGTCAACTGCTCGAACAGTCCAAGCAGCTATTCAACGGGCTCCGGTAAGTGGCGGTGCTTTAATTACGTGTACAGTAGGTGACTGATTATAATATCAACGCATCGGGTGAGTGACGATGATCGATGTCCATCGTCACGTCTATAATTTGATAATTATTTATTTAAATTTTACAATACTTTTCGGAGCGAGCTTTTAGCTTTTGAAAGGTTAACAATAACTTTTTTCTTATGTTGACAGATTAAAAACAATAATTAATAATTTTTAAATTTTAAATAATAATATTATACTTTATGGTAATATTTCAGCGCGGTATATTATGATATTATAACGAGAGAGAGAGAGAGAGAGAGAGAGAGAGAGTGAGAGAGAGAGAGAGAGAGAGTAGACGATAATATTCTCTTATCGCATCCTCGCGTACTGCAGCTAAAATTTAGCTACAACGTACATGCGTATGCGTCATGTATACTATATAGACCGGTGTTTTTGCGTTTTTATGTTTTTCGTCACACTCATATTATAATAATATGTATAGACTATAGTAGTATATACTGCACGATCCAAATATTCGACGTTACTGCTTTTTGAAAACGCACGTCGCTAGGGGTGGTTCAGAATTTAGAAATGGGGTGAGGGGGTTTTTTCAGATAAAATTTAAGTATACGAGTAGTTAATATACTCAACTTTAACATTAATATGTAATTTATTTATTTATTAAAAGCATGATGTCGTACAAGTCCAAAGGGGGTAAGCCCCCTTAACCCCCTCTTCATCGTATACTAGATTCACTGACGCACGTCGTATAATATTATAATGACATCGACAAATTATTATTTCAATGCTGAGGTCTCGTTAGTCGTTATGTAACTAAGCTTAGAGTAGGTTTAAGAAATAGAAAAACATTTCAGAGTATAACACTAACCATATATAGGTATACCTTACCTATACGTCATAATAATATTACATTGTATTTACGTCATCGTGTGGCATTTATACGTCTACGCAATAATACACCTATTGTGCTCGCATTGACAAAAAACATAAACACACACATACACGTCCGTTGAAATAGTAAAATACTAACGTTACCAAGCGACGCTTATATACCCTGATTACGTTATTTCGTGCACTAGAGTTTTTTTTTTAAAAAATGATGGTTTACGAATATTATATTCAAACGTGGGACGTGATTTAGTCGTTCGAAAAAGTGTGTGTGTGTTGGGTGGGTGGAGGGTAGGGTTTGGAAAAATATAGTACGAGACCATCGAAACACGTACCGGGTGCCTTATCCAGGAAGGTATATGAATATATAATAATATAATCGTATCGTACATCGTTATGAATATGCACGAATTCGATTTTATTTTCATTTTCCACAAATCCAGGGACGTTGGCGGTTAACATCGTTTCAGAATTTCAGCAGGGAGCAAACGTTTTAAACACACTGATTTTATCAAACACGGCCCAGACTTTGATTTTAACCATACCTACCTATTATTCACTAAACGCTTAGGTTTTAATGGCGGGTTAGGGTCTTTTTTTTAAATATATTATTTTGTTTATATTACCTGTCTACATTAAAATATTTCAAACGATGGTGAACAGTGAACATTTATACAATTGATATAATATAAGTACCAGGTACATGCGGTACAATTATTAAGATAACACCATACTAATTAGTAATTACACATAATGATAAATGATAACACATTATAGAATAGAAAATGGGGAGGAAAAAAATATCCAGTCTGATGACCACAAAATAATGACGTTTCCAGTGAATAGTGATTTAGAGAGGCACATATCCCTGTATATTATATTAGTAGTGTTAAATACATATTATTATAATTCCTTCACAAAAAAAAAAAATGTATCGTTTTGGTACTCATATTATGTCTAATACTTAATTTTTGGGTACATAATATTTTTACTGGTCGTTCGTTATAGGTACATTACAGTTAGGTTAGGTAAGTACGTTTCGTAGATCTCCATGTACTGAAAAACTTTTTAAGCTCAAATATGTCACTAGAAACCAAAAATACAATATACACTATAAACAAATCATATAATATGTCGTATACTCGTATGGTGTATTGATAGGTGTTCGAGCATTCGACATTGAGGTAAAGCCAAAAAATCTAATATTAACACCATCCAATTCATTCTGTTAATCCACCTACGTTTAGTGACAAGTGCATCACGGTACGCAACCTATGACCATAGCATAAACACTAACCCCCCCCCCCCAATGACTTAAAAATACAAATACTTGCTAAACTAGTCTGTGGCCATTACAGAATAAATTCCATGTCATAACACTAATCCGTCTAAACCACATAAATACATTTTTTATCCAGGCTCTACGTCTTTTCTAACGCTTTAGTAACCCCTCATACCGTTATCAAACGCAACTCAAATGGCAGAGATCTCTTCTAATATTTTCATCATCTTACGTCTCTCTATACAACTAACAAATAATAACAAAATAAAAATATTTATCTCGGGGTATAAATACGTGGAGCTTTTTAAGTGATCTCACTGGACAACCATTTCCCACAAGTCAACTCGTCACCATTTGTAATTGAATCAAATTTACTAATTCTATAGGTATTTATGTACGGTGTATAGGTGCTGATTTTAAATATTTTAGAAAGCTACGTATTATTTGATTGCCATACCTGCAGAATGTGCATTAAAAACACCCCGAAAGACCCTGTTATGTCACTTATAAAAAAAAGGCCACAGAAGGTCTATCCCTCCCACGTCCCCAGTACAACCGACCACCAGGAAAAAATCACCCACGCACGCAGTGACACGTAACGATTGTATATACTGTTTGTACCCAGAGAGATTTTAATTTTTAATTTTAAATCCTATTTACAGAGACCTTCCACAATGCGGTCAGAAAATCTGGCAAGGGTATTTCGGCAAGACTTTCGACGTTTATACAAAACTTTGGAAGTTTCAACAGCAACATAGGTAATTCGTGAATGTTTATATTTTGTAACATTGTAACATATAACTTTTACATTGAAGCAGCACAATTATTATAATAATTGGTCGTATATAAATATACTGCAAGAGGGATGACCAACAGGCAGGTCTGTCCGCCAAATCGTTTTGTTCGGCCTACTGCACTTTAATACTGCTGGCTATCTATTCAATTTCAATATGTTTTTTCATTGTTTAATATGAATATGAAGTTTATTGTGTATATTAATTTTATCAGTAACTATAGTAAATTAGTAATTTAATATTGTGTTCAAGCACTTCATTTCACATGACAATATTATACGATTGACAAAAAAAACCCTTTTTTTACTTGTCCGCAAAACATTATAAAATGTAAAACATTCATCTAGATTGTATTTTTTTATTTTTTTTACTTAAAGTAAATATTATATTATTTAAAAAGCTATACCGTAATAACCAAAATATCACACGTACAATGATATAATTTATGCGAATTTATTATTATTATTATAATTTAATATTCCTTTCATGTGTTCAGTTCAGTGTTGAACAAAACTTCTTATAGAATTTAATCTTTATTTTTTTTGTCCGTTTTTACTTTTAACAATGCTGTTTAGTATGTTTTAACGTTTTTTTGATGACATACTCTCAAGTTTATAAATAAAAGATAATTTGTTGTACTGCGCAGCTTAAATTATTCTAACTCTTGATATACATACGTAGTACATAATAATTATATTTATATAATATGTACAATTGTACACTTTATATGTTATACAGTTTAACTTTGTTTTCATACTATAAATGAAAAACTTAATCAATGTTTTTTTCTATTTACTATATTTTATTGATCGTTTATAATATTTACTCGCCGTAGTTTACACATAAATGAAACTTAACTCATAATGTTTAGATGTGGGGAACTATTTTAATTTGATATTTTTACATCATTACGGTACCCAACAAACTGTATATAGTCGAGCTTAAATAACAATATTATTATTTTTCCAACATATTATAAATAAATTGAATAATTAACGCAGGTACTTAAAATAATAATGTACAATGAGAACATATTTACCTGACCAAGTAATTATATACCTCCAAACCTAATAAAACATTTTTCTCGAAAAATACTAGCACGACCAAATCCATAAAATCGAAAATGTTCAGTATAATCTAATGTTGAATTGTTTTGTTTCAGACAAGTGTTGGATACAAAGTATGGCTTAAAGCGATGGCAAATAGGTGAAATAGCCTCGAAAATAGGTCAACTGTATTATCATTACTAGTGAGTATATTCATATTCTTCAGTCAGGCATAAAAATGCCACACTATCCGATGAGCCCATAACTATATTGATCCCTTCTACATACTTAACGTGGTGTAAAGATAAAAAAAATTCGTACAAAAGCCAACGAACCAAGCGACGACAGCCCCTAAATGGCAAACGGGCAAACTAAATTAATTTCGAATTCGACGCTGCTGTGTTTTACTCGAGCTGGTTTTAAGTGTTTTTTCGGGTTATCCTTATAAATTATCGGTCAAGGGTTTTAATTATATTATCCACTTGTGAACGTGATCTCGGGGAAAAAAACTACCATTTTACACTATTACGCGTGTGTATATATATTTATATATATAGGTACCCTATTATAATGTATGGCAGTCACTCCATTATATAGCTTATTTTACATAATGCGTAAAATCGATGCAAACGCGGTCATACTTGGACTTGTCGGCTTATATATACAGGGTGTAACAGAAATAACTGACACACGTAGTGAACCAAATATGTCATTAAGCCATTGCTTTTGTTCTACGCAATATAAAATTTTTTTTTAATTTATTAATAACAACAGTCGTAATATAATATCTAATTTTAAAAAAAGTATTTAAAACATAGATATTTATAAAAATAAAAGTTATTCAATAGTTGGTTAATTAAATCTATCAGCCGTTTCTATTACACCCTGTACATAGTTTTTTTTTTTATTTAGAGGAAGTTTTAAGGGATTGGGGGTATAGTTTTCAAGTATAAAACAATAGTATCGTGGCATGTCTTTCGAGCGTGACGGGCCTATTTTTTTTTCACAATTCACTTATCGATTAAAAACTCTTTGGTCATTGTATAATACAAGTTTTCATTACACAAGATCCATGTAAATTTTAATTTAACACATTTCAAAATTATATTATATAAATAGGTACGCACAAAATCCTCACATTTACTTACTCAATATTATTATATTCATCACTCCATTAGGTGTATATGGTGTAATTTAAATGCAATTAAATAATTTGTTTTAGCCTTAGAACCAGCGATACGAACAATTTGAATGAAGCGTATTCGTTCTATTCGGCGATAAGAGGAAGACAATACTATTCTCGAGTATCTCAGGAAGATAGGTAAGTTAAAAATAAATAAACTGACAATTATTAACAGCGATTGTTTTGATAATTTAATTATAATATTTATATCTTCGAATTAAAAGTTACAATTTAGTATATACCTATAATAAATGCATTGACAAAATAAATTTAAACACTATTATGAGTATATTAATCTTTTATTTCATTATTTTTACCCATTAAAATACCTACTGACATTTAAAGTAATATTAAGTTCCTACAATACCTGTAGCTAATATTATATTTATAACTTATCCATCGTAACTAGACATATATTGATATGAAAACACATCGTTTTGTATTGGCCCGAACGACTGAATTACTATCTATATTCCAAATACAAGCTTATACATTTTAGCCATGTCTTAAATAAACTTTTGATTTAAGGTTTGAACAGTCACTATTTTTTTTCAATATAATATTGTGTAGCAAAAATTATGTTTAGAGGGTCGATAAATAACTTAAAAATTGATGTTATTTTCAACATATTTAAAATTTAATCTTTACAATTTAATGTTTTACCTTCTGTATGGATAAATACCATTTTATTTAATGTAAACATTAAAATAAATTACCACTTTGAGACACTGAGATATTAAATGAAAATGTATAGTTACCATATACTGTTTGAGAGAACTAAATACAGCCTTTGATTATCCGTGAAACTATGAAAGTATACTTATACTCGAACCTTTATTATAGTTATAGTTTTAATGTCAACTGTACTGTAAATGGAATGGTTCATTTTCAATATATACCAGTGTTTTAATGTTCAGGTTTATTATTTAGAGTATAATATCAACAATTAAATATATAATGCTATATGCCTATATCCTGATGGCCATAATACATTTAATAATAATATGCACCTTCTTATCGTATTATTATATTTTATGTTTAAAGCCGTTTTTGTATCGTAATGTTTAGTGGTAGATGTTAATTTATGATTTTTTGTTTCAGGTCTGATCTAATGGTAAAAAAACTGAGGTACTACGCTAGGTTTATTGTGGTGTGTCTGTTGCTAAGAAGAGTGGGGGCCATTCGTGAATTATTGGCTGTACGTATAATAAAGCGATAATTTTCATTAATATGAAATATATTATAATTATTCTGAGTCAGCACTCAGTATCGTTTCCTCTTTAACCATACGAAATAACGAAGAGAAAAAAATCGATAACATTTTCATTGAATAGCATCGTTTTGTTTTTATTTTTTACTTACACGCATTTTTCTTACCTATATTTTTCTTATAAATCCGTGACTGTGTACTATTTTATGTACTTAGGAGCTCGACAAGCAAATCGTAGACTATACGAGTACGTACGAACCGGACGATCAGTTGGAATGGTCTTTGGTGTTGGAAGAAATCAAGACATTCGTAAAAGCCGACAGCATTGTAAACGTTTTACACGCTGACCAGAGCAATGTCATACTTTCACACAGGTAAACAATACAACAATATAATTATAAACAACACAATTTACTACACAACATAATATAATATCATACTTAAGTTGGGTTCACACTAAACCGTGACGTGTTGTTTCTCGTTTTCATGTTTATACCAAAATGCAATAGGTAACAATGATATGAATATATTGTACCATGGTGATAACATAACATTATTTTTTTTACTTATCACTTTTCCGCACATAATTGTAACCACACTGTCAAAAGTTGAATTTATTCAACTATGCGGTATCCTTTTGTCACTGTGATTATTTTACACGACACGGTGTAGTGTGAACCCGGCTTTATTCATTGTCGAATAATATATGTTCCTATATATTATTATAACCTATGTTCCTTATATTCGCGATACTGCACAATAGCCTTTGGGTATTCGTACTTCGTATACTATATAATATACTATACTGTCGTCTTTTTACGGGCACAAGTGTTTTCTTTGAAATTTAAAATTAAAACTTATAAACCGTACCACCATATGAACATGACGCATATGCGTATGTAATAGCTGATAAGAACCCGGAATAAATATAAATTCTTTCAATAATTTTAAAGAATTTAATAGTCTACTACTTTAATTAATCCAATATGTAATTTTACTATATTATCTTATTTATCACAGCCCTATAGCTTTAGCGATGGTCCGACTATTTTAAATATTTCTTGTATATTTCACTATTGTCACTCATTGTTGGAAATAAAAATATTATCATAACAAAAAGAACTATCAAAGTAGGTACCTACCAAAATTAAAATGATACTAAAATCGCTGATAAATAACGACTTTTGGGGACGGAGTAGGCGAGTGGACTAAAGTGTCGGTTGCGACGCACACCGACGCCGGTTCGATACCTCGACCATGGACAGCATTTTGCTTCGGGCAAGTCACGGTGTCCGGGGAACAAGTGCCTCCATCCCCAACCCGGGCATACCTACGGGTGCCCAAATCAAAAATTCTGCAAAAACAAACACACGTGTGTTCTAACCTACAATTTCCTCCCCTACAAACCAAAAACAAACAGCTAATGTTCATAGTTGCCGGGCTTTCACGATCAGTAATAAAAAAAAAAATAATAATAACGACTTTTTGGTAACAAATTTGAAAACAACATAAATCGACAAGACGTAAAACTATTCCGAAGGCATTTTAAAATATGAGTTAATATCGAATTCTCTAAGAAAAAGAGCCCTTCAGGCTTCAAGGGGATAAAATATAATGAGCTTTTTCTTGGAGTTCTTTGGAGAGAATACCCCCAGCTCACGCCTATGCATTGTAGGTATGTGAATATTGGCTGCAGTACATGTCTGCGGTCTCTTTCCTACCCGTTCAATTTCCCTCTGTCAACAGCCAACAGCCAACATTCAATATATTTTTCGTGTTCGCTACACCGCAAATGATACCATACAACGTACAAAAGCGTTAACGCATGATTCGTTTTCCTTATACTTGTTTGACACGCATATATGCAATAAAAAGAAACTTTTGCAGTGCTACATATTATTTTATATTATATAGGTACCTACCAATTATTCTTACAGGTTAACACCGTTGACTACGCCACCGGTAGAAAAATCCACGATGATGAATCTCTCGTTGCAAGAAATCATACTTATAGGAAACGCGTCGGAACAGGTGGGAAAAACATCGAATAATATATTATACTATAAACGCACGGACATGATGCATAATAAATATAATAATGTTGTACAAATATGAAATATGATGGAATGCGATCAACAATTATAATTATGTATAACAATACAACTGTCAATTTTACTGTAGGTCAAGTTCAGCGAAATGACGATAGACATGTTCCGAATGATGCAGACGCTAGAGAGGGAAAAAAACCGAGACGAAGTTAATCACGTATCCGATCCTCCTTCAAGAGCTTCATTTGTAAGTTATCCCGATCAAATGTAACATTGATTAAATTTGTTTTAAATTAAAACAATACATGATGGTACATTCTGCTCTGTATACGATACCACATACTTACATGTGATCGGGAAAACGGAATATATTAAATGTTTTAGTCTATAAAATATTATATTGTTAATCAGTACTTAGTACTAACTACTTTACATTTTTAGAAAATATTATAGGAGGGTGCTTTAACCCCCCACCCCCCCCCCCCAAAAAAAAAAATGGGCTATTTGCTCCTATGATAAATTATAATTTATAATGTATAGCCTATACGTATTATAAACGTTTGAATATTAATAATATATAATATATTTATATCTTGGTATGACTATTGACTAAATCATTTCAATTTATTTTATAGGAAAAAAGTTACTCGATAACCAGTAATAAAACCTTAGCGTACCCGATGATGGCAAATCATGACGTGAATAGTTCAAGAAGAGAAAATCCTCACAAATATATACTTTATAAACCAACTATTACTCAAATAATGATGTTTTTAGCCACAGGTTTAAACACACCAATTTTATTTTATTTGTTCTCATGTTTAATTTATTATTTTTAATTAAAGGGTTTAAAGAGCTCCCTGCAAATGGCGTGCTACTCATGTACGTTTCGGCAGATGGATGCTTTCAAACCTCGAAACACGTAAATGACTGTAAGTAAAATATTTATAAGTTAAATACATGTCAGTAGGTGTCTATAGGTATAAAAGACATATCTTGAATATTTCGTACATAGGTACCTAGATAATATAAATTATAATATATCAGTAGGTACTTATAACCATGACACAATAGTGAATAGATAGGTATCATCAAAGTTGTAATAGTTTTTTTTCAGTATGTGCATCTCCTTCACCTCCAGCCCATGTCGTAGTTCTCTACTTCTGATTGGTTAATTTTTTTTCTATGTTATATATATGTATAATGTATGTATATGATTGACAGCCAATAAGAAGTGGAGAACTACGATATAAGTGAAGTTAAGAGCGGAGGATGCGTATCAAAGAACATGATGACGCCTATCTATTTTGTCATGACTATAACCTTTAGAATGTTTTTCGTGCATAATATATTTGAAATGTAGTTACAACCTAATAGACAATTATTGTTCAGTGGGTTACGATTGTGGAGGAGTCATGGCAAGTAGCAAACGAGAAATGGAACTGACCAATAAAAAAGGTGTACATGTAAAAGAAATCCACTGGTAAGAATTTGGAATAGTGTTCTAACTCAAAATATTATAGGTTGTAAAAACTCAAAAATATATTAATTTTTTTATTCTTTCTATAGCTTATATCCAGGAGATCTTTACCCGTTCACTAGAAAACCATTGTTCGTTATTATTGATTCCGATAATAGTTTTGCCTTTCAATACATACCGAGGTATTTCGGTCATCCGTTCGTCGTGCTCATGTCTCCCCAGGAGTTGCCGGATAAACTTCACGGTCGGAAGAATGATATTATAATAATAAATAATAACATAGTAATAATATAATAATATTTCTATAAAAAATGGATTTATGAACAAATATAGATAATGAGCATTGGTTAATGAGATATCAAAATTCTTAAGACATTATTCTGAACTGTCAACAAAACAAATATTGCTATTTTCGTGCACCAATGTTATTTTTAGTTAAAAAAATTGTCTAAAATTTAGAACCTTAAAATTACAGTAAAAATTTAGAAAATTCCATTTTTTATAGAAAATGATAAATTAAGTAATATAGTGGAATATTTTAATTACTACGATTAATATTTTTTGAATATTAAGAAAATACCTGTATAGTATATGGCTATTTTAAATATCGTTTGAATCGTTTGATGATAAATCCTTATTGTTCGCTTAAATATCTAATGTTGTCGAATTATGAACTTCAATCGCTCATAAAAAATGTATTTGGATTTATAATCATAAAAACTCAATATTTTTTTTAGTAAAAAAAAACTTGAGGCGATTTGTTTTATATTTTAAAGTTTTTTTTACTAACTAACAAAAATTGTATGATACTGAAATAGATAATAGTTTAAACAAGTCGAAAATATTAAATGAATGACAATAAATACCAAAAAAAGCACCTAAATATTTTGAAAATGATATCATGTTAAATGTTTAGTAGATGATGTTTAAGTATCTAAGTTGGTTATTTTCGAATTTTAACAAAAAAAACAAGATTTTAACATTTAGTAGGGCATAAAAAATGTTTGTTTCCTAAAACTTTATTTTTTATTTTTCCTGATTAATTTGAGAAGTACCTACTATACTTTTTTTAGTTTTGACCAATTCACCCCCCCCCCCTTAAAGTAACAAATAGATATAATTATCTGTAAAAATCCACCCTCAAAGTCAAAGGTTGAAACATTTTTACTATAGATGCTCCAAAATGTGATTATTGACACAAAAAAATTGTGATTTTTGACTTTTCAAACAACACATCAGAATCATTTATACATTATACTCTTTTTATTTAATACTTAAAAAAATAATAAACGAAAACAATTCTTCATTATATTTTTAACGACAAAACTCCCCACTTTTTCCCAACTTATATTTTTTATCTATATACCTGCCAAAATAATAGTTTTTAACTGTACTATAACTTAGCTAGACTATTATTTAGAATCCTGTTGCTACAGGTATTGTTTAGATTTTCACTAGTTTACGGTTGAAAATATTAATGTCTGAATAATCAAAAAAAAACAATTCACAAAATACATAGGTTGGTACACAAGATAGTCTCTAGAAATACCAGTGGCGGACCCATGGCTTAATTTTGAGGGGACATGGGAGGGCAAAAGTATAAAAAGTACAAAAACTGGCTACAAAATTAGCTAAGCACGGTGTAAAACATAGGGAAACTATGGTTATTGGGGGATGCCCCTTTTTCCCCCCACTGGATCCACCTCTGAGAAATACATCAAATTGTAAACATCAGTATATTATTTGTCTTTAAATTAAACTGCCTTATATTACAGCTTTTATATTATATTATTATGTTGTTTAATTTAAATATATATTTATACATACCTAATACATATTTTATACAAGTGTGTGGTTCTTATTAGACTATGTGTTTTTTTATCCAACAGAACAACTACAGCACAACGGAAGTTTGTTCACGTTGTTCTTGCATAGCCCTTTGACTGCATTCTGTCTCATATGTAATATCCTAACGGTTAAAATGCATTTGTGGGAGAGGGCCAATTCGTACGTAGATAGGTTCATCACGGAAGCTAGCCGTCTGTTTACCAGCAAAGTGAAACCAGGTAAATAAAACGAGATACAAAAAATACAAGGTCCCATAAACAATTGTTTCGTATAACTATTATTTGATGTATAAACGTTGTTAATGTTATTTTTTCAGACGTGTCTTACATACAGTTCTTCGGTGACGACTTTTTACGGTTATTATTATTGCGGTACGTCTTTTGCCACGTTGTACTTCGTCATCATCGAGCATTCGTTGTGAGTTAACGATTATATTATTGTTATTTTTATTTATCATCATTCGTCATAAATTATAATAATATAAATAACAAAATGTATGATTATACATTGTATTAATTGAGTTAACGCTCGTGTCACGTATTATGGTTTTTCGTTAACAAATAACAATTAACACTATATACCAAGTTAGATGTACCCATAATTTATTACTATACCTTTTGGCTTTTATATTAAAATGTTAAAAATTTAAAGAGGAGGATATTAATATTTATTTAATATTACATATACCACACACGATAATATTTGCATACAACAACTCGTACATTAAATATGTTTTAATTTAGACATTGGCATAAAAAGTATCTACAAATTATACGCATTGTGGAAACGGTTTGCGATAGTGAGATGTGCTATTTTTGAATGTACCAAACACATAAATGTATATTAACTTTTGAGAGCAACGTAGGAATATGCGTAATCCCAAGAGTTTCTGAAAATGTGTAAATCATTTTAAAATATATTGGAATGTTTATTAAACAAATATTCAGTTTCCCTAAAATCTTATTTCACTTATATTATATGTATATTTGTTTTCCACTTTTATTAAATACGCATAATACGCACTTCAAAGTACTATAACTGAGTATAACTATCGAAAATGTATACGTCAGTGTGTATACGTCATGTACTATGTAAATTCACAAAATTACTTTTTTATTCAAATTATCCATAAATAATAATAAAAGTATATTATGAATACATCTTCGCCTAGACAATGTTGTTTATATTCTTGTTTGTATGATAACTTTATTATTTTAAGTGGTATTCTGTGTTCATTGATTACCACTGGTTCAGCAACAACTTCTAAAAATAATTTGTCTTTGGACGTATAAGTCTAATAAATATTGAAACAAATCAAAAAAAACATGCAGTTACATAATAGTGAGTGTATTTTATGCTCAAATATGCTTCATACGTTTTCGACCATGAACATTGCAGTTTGCACATTGCACAAGTACCTAATAAGTAATAAATAATAATAATTTAATACGAATTTCGACCGTAGGAACTTGATTCCATAGCTTTTACGCATTAACAAGAATAACACTTGAAAGCCATTATAAGTAGATTTTAAAGATTTTTTAAATCCATAGCCGTGGTAATTTTACGAGTTGATTTAGTAGGTACTGTTATTTCTACTATCTCTAAGACTCTAACATACAAATATGTAAGTTATAACATATTATTATTATTTATTAATTATTATACATTTTTCCGATTACCATCCAAATAAATACCGAATATCTTTATAAAATAAAAAGACAGGTTTTCTACACGAATTATCTGGTAAATTGATCAATGTCCGTTTGGGACGAGGGATAATATTTGGAGTCGTTATTTTACACGATTCGTTACACTTTTTTTTACATTTATTGCCTATATTAAAGATTGTGTAATAGGCGTACTAACTTATAACAATTTTATCTGTTTTAGGGAGAACAGTATCTTCCGCGGTGTCAACCGCCATTGCCTTTGGCCAGCTTTTTAGACGAAATATCTCTGAAGAAATACGTAAGAGAGTTGGCCAAACACTTGGACGTTTTGTCACATTTCGAAAACTTCGAATGATCCCCACGACCCACTATTATTATTATATTGCTCGGCGGTCGTCAACTTCTTCCAGTATAAAAATAATAATTATTATTATTATTATTATTGTTGTTATTTTATTATAATACGTCATAGTATGTAGTATACCATATTATTATATAATATTATGTTTCTATAAATATTGTACAAAGTCGTGAAATCCGAGTGTGAACTATAATACCTGCATATTGTGTGAAAATTGTTCGGATATATGATGCAAGTCAACGATATTTAAATCTGTTTAAAAATCTTGATTTCGACCAAACGTACGTAAAATGTGGCGATGCGATATTCGTCTAGTTTATAGATGTTTATCTCACATATATTAATTGTATTGTTTCTATTAACCGGAGTTCGAAATTTGTTCTACATATTAGGTATATACGTTCAGTTAAATAGTAGTATCTAGATTAATTAATATAATATTTATATGTATATTTATATATTTATACGATATTTGTTTATGTATAAATATATGCATATACATATATATTATATTAAAAAATAAAATACTAATAAAATATCTAAGATATAATATATATATTTATACAATATATGTTTATATGTATACAGGGTGTTTCGCCAAAGATGGCCCCACTGCTTTTTTCTTTAATGATGAGATTATTCAAAATCTGAATTTTTGAATTTTTGAATATGCTTCAAGACCATATTTTTTAATACTTTATATTGTGTTTTTACCATTTAAGGAATTTCATATGTCAGTGTCATCAAACTTCTGTTTTTCAAATGAGAACCATAGTTCTCAAAAGGTTCACCTTTATTTATTTAAATTATTCAGCAGATAATTTTTTGAGAATTTTGATGTACCAAAATCAAAATTTTATAGATTCCGAGCTATTAAACATTTAGTTTATAGGTGCTAATGATAATAGGTTTGGAAAATATGGGGACTATGGTGATTTTAAAATTATAGTAATTTATATTAATCTAACAAAATTTAAATTTTTTTTAAAACAGTCTGAGTATAGTAAACACTAGTTTCAACATGACATCTATTTTGTATTTTTGTAAAACCATTAATATTAAGGACTAGAAGTCTAGAAGACTAGAAGTCTCGTCTGAATTTTAATTTACATCAAAATCATCAAAAAAAAAAAATGTCTTTTGAATAATTTAATGTAAAACAAGGGTTATTGTTGAAAAAAAAAACAGAAATTTTAATTTCCAAAGAAAACTTCTTATCTATGTGGTATACAAATTTGAAGTAGGTATTCAAAGAATATAAATACGGTCTTTCAAAAAATTTCAAAAAATCAGATGAATAACTGCATTATGTATTATGTAAAAAAGAAAAGGGGGTGGACATGCTTGGTGAATCACAATGTATATTATATTATGTTACATAAATAATATATGATTATTATTTTCTTTGTTTAGGCCCTAATGGCTTATTTATTTGTTCATATAATCTGTTAAAAACTATTTAACTCCATCGTAATATATTTGAAACTTAATAATGTGTTATGGTTTAATCAAAATACGTTCGATCGAAAGTACAATAAACGTATATAAGCTCTAAGGAAGCCTATAATGTTTATATACGTCAATAAAAGTACCAAACTACAATGTTATATTATTATATAAGTTATGTGTACCAATTAAATTTGAAAAAAACCTGTAACACTTTTCTTTTTTTTTAAATTCTAATTTCTATTAATAAATAGTTTAATTTTTTTCTAAATTAATAAATCAATTTCCAAATCTTCCATTTTGTACTACGAAAAATCTCTTAAAATTGCATTATATACAAATTGTTAGCGAAATAAAGTACAGTATTTTTTATAAAATTCATTAATCTATTTATATTATAAAACTACTTGGTTTAAAAAAAAAAAAAACATTGCTGCTTAATAAAAACCAAGTACCCTAATTTAGTTTTACTATATAAGTGTTTTATCGTCATTATTATTATAAATTACTATTGTTTCTGTATACTGTTTCTTGTAATCCCTGTATAATTTTGTTGTACCTACCTATACTTCATGGAGAAGAGTACGATTTACGCGTACCGTGCAAGTACTGCTGATGTACATGCTTGGGTAATGAGTATGACGTACTACTCGCATATATATAATTTAATGTTTGAAGTGCTATATGCAATTGTTTACTATATACACTCAATAAATCGGCCGAAAACTGTTTCTTTTATATATATTTCTCAGAAAAATGCAATGCGCTTGTCCGATGTTCTGTTTATAAAAAGTCAATATAGAATTTTAGAATTTTGTTTGGATAACAATATTCGGCCGTTGCATTCAGATATTATTTATCATCGTGTTACGTTATTATGAGGGTGGGGACTGGGGAGAGAGGGATAGACATAGATAGAGAAAACGTTAAGATTTCGACCGTTACATAACGACGGCGGTCGGAAAACCAAGAAGAAAAAAGTGAAAGATATGGGCCACTCCGCGATATGACAAATCCAAAGGGTCGAGTTTATTTTTAATTGACGAAATTGGACGCTGCCCAAACATGTCTGAGCGCCGGGACCACGTCGTAAACGAGCTGCATGCACGCACACAAACGGTTTTCCGCCTCCGATGCGCGAGATCCGACTCGTGTGCGCGTCAACTTAGTCGTCAAAGCCAAACGACAAAGTCTGTAAAAATACAATAAAAATAAAAAAACTAGTGCTTGTTGAAACGGATAAAGCGAAAAAAGCTGTGCGAATGATACTCGTTTCTGGACCCGTCATCGCGTAAGTCTCATCGCGTGACGTGTAACGATGGAACTGATGGAAGAACCAGGTCTGTACCTATAATACTATACGTATATAATATATATGATATGCATAATCACTATACGCAGTGTATCCCAAAAGCGTCTCCGTGAATCACTGGCAAATCAATAGGTTAGGCCTTATCTAAGATTCGTTATTCAACAGTTGTAGGTATGAGCTATAAGAAATGTATACAAACCAATTGTAATTTTCTTATAGATTTCTGTTGAAAAAAAAGCATTTGAATATTGTATATCTATATAACATAATAACATATTGACGTGATGCAGTCTCGCAGAGACACTTAGGGTGGTACTGGACGTTTGGGACATATTGTATACAAGCACATATCTGTAATTAATATAATTGAATTGAATTGCACATACATAATAAATATGAACACTGCAGGACCCCACTGAGACGACTCATGTATCTAAACCAAACTGTAGAAATAATACACAGTACATGATTGAATATTAAATTATCTTAAATGAAAGTGTATTACTAGGTATATTATTAATTCATCAGGAAACTCTTATAAGTTATAATCACAACAAAATTTATTTCTTGAATGAATTTATTGGAAGATATTTTAATATATTAGATAGAATTTTTTTTAACATACGAAAGATTGGTACCGATTATTTCAAAGTGGCTTCTAGAAGTGGTTTTTTTTGATTTTTTTTAGGAGAAAATTGAATTTTAGTACCTACATATCGAATGTGTTAATTCCATGTAATATTGGTTGTAATAAATTATGGCTTTTCATATATAGCGGTTATTTTTAGATAAATTGTCTTTTATATACTAATCTAATGTCACGGACTTAAATACAAATGAAATTGTTTTAGTTTTTATTGTATTCATTAATTTTATCGATGTTGGTACTGAAAAAAATTCACGATAAATGCTTTAATCCAGTGCCCCAATAAGGGATGGAAAATGGCCTAGTTAAGTCGGGGGATAATGTTTAGGGGTGTCAACACTTTTAACGTGTGTTTTTTAATAGTTATTACTTAATTAAAATACTTTACAAAATTGAAAAAACAACATTCGTGAATATAAAAATTAAATTTTTCCGTTGTAAAATACTTAGGTCATATATTATCCAGATTTTAGATTTTAAATCCATAAATAAATACACTTTTAACAGAGTGATTATTATTACGTATGGATAGAATATAACGTATAATATTACGTTAATACATTAATTATAGTGGTAATATAGGTTGGTACCATACGAGATGAATGGTACTTATACTTGCCACCAGCCGTAAAATGTTTTGATATAATATACGCTACAGCGGCTTTAAATTTTCAATCGCATTAAATTATTTTGTTCGTTATCGGACTCAGCAATCCACTCGTCGCACACAGGGCGTTTCATTATACACTATATTATATTTGAGTAATATTTTATATTAGGTTCGCGTAAATCAGTGTCCTGCGACAGGGACGGGCCGTACTATTCGACGCTGAACCGGCCAGGCAGGTCTCCGTCGACCAGGTCCACACCGTGCAGGTCTACTTCGCGCAGATCTACCCCGGGCCGGTCTACATCGGGCAGATCTACTTCGGTGTGCAGCAGATCTACCACGGACAGGTCGACGACTCCCGATGCACCGCCAGTCCCGCCGGCCACCTATCACTGGGAGGAGGTGAGGAGAAAACGGTCGGTGGGCGGGTACCCGTGGACGCATCTCAACAAACCACCTTTCGACGAAAACACCTGGGTGAAGTATGAAAGGCAAGTATGCACCGTGTGCAGGCGTCAGTCACGCCGTCGACGACCCGTTAACAAAGTACGTTTGCAGCTTATGGTTTTAATGGAAAACAAATAATATACAATCTATAGATACCAGCTACGTATAGGTATATACCGCAACTGCTGTATAATAATTTAATGTATGCACGCCATAGTCGAGATGTCAAAATATGTGTGCCAACGCGTTCGTCGCTATCGCCTATAGCTGTTGTCGTAGGCGTTTCGTTAAAAAAAAAAAAAAAAAAAACAACGTCAAATCGAAAATAAAATTCGATTTCCGATGAAATTGACAGAAACTATATACCTATATAATTTAAATAACGCGTTTGTTGTATGTCCCTACCTACGTGCAGTCTGCAGTGACGGCCGACAACTCGCCAAGTATTCGGCACTGGTCGTGGATCTAATAATATTGTTGCGTGTATAAATGTCTAAACAATTGTTTGATGATAATAATAATGACGACACATCGATATGATTCGCTTTTAAGTGTTAATGACGAGAATTCATAGATAAACATAATAATATTGCCTACCTATACTTATACCTAATAATAATTATTATACAATATTATAATTTCCATAAACATTTCATACGATCACCAATCCTAACGCATGTCGCATGTGGTACGTGTATACTGTATACTGTATATTTGTATATACATATATATATAATTTTTTTTTGTTTACAAATTGTATACTGTTTACTATACCACAAAGAGAATTTATATTATATTTTTTATACCTACTTAAAAATATATTTTTGAATTGTATTTTATATTCAAGAAGCAATAGTTTTTAGGCTATTATTCGCGTTTCCTGTCTTACTATAGACTACTACTCGCTACTCGTATGTCCTATTATATTATATTATAGCTGTATACAGCTGACGTCTTCGCCGGATGTTTATGACAATAATGCATGATCTAATAACGATATTATAATAATATATTATGTACTAATGACAATTTTATTTTTTCTAACATACCTATTCGCCTGTATCGAATAAACTTATCGATTTCGTGTACATCATTATAATAACATGTAGCCATGTAGGTAAGTATAACGTGGGTAAATTATTACGATCTCGATATATTTCAATTAATTACGCATACAAGACGGAGTGCATTGACACTCGCACGACCATTATATATATTATATTATTTAAATACCTGCAGCAGACTGCGCGGTACATGTGTACCATTTGGCTATGTAAAATGACAAAAATCTCAACTATATATATTGGCCCAGAGATGATATTAGTTGGAACTTGGTAGTGAAAAAAAAATAACGAACACTCTTCTAGTCTGAATATTCGGGTTATGCCGGACGGCCAAAACACATTTGGCAACCGTTGCGGCAATTTCGATTTTTCTCTCGGCGTATAATCGAGCGCGATTGTGTAGCGCGTGGTGGCGATTTCGAAACCGGGGAATGTAGTATAGTCTTACGACGATTCAGTGTAGTCCGGAAGTCATTTGCGGCCGCTGGTCTTCCGCGGACACCATTGAACAACGAATAATATTTCCTCCAAAGATGCCAGCCACACTGTCGTCGAATTCGTAATTAACTTGAACATATTTTGTACTGCATGATTTAATATAGGACACCAGGCATGGGGTGAGTATGTTATACAAAAACATCATTAAATTTATCTGACACATCTAACGAACCAAAAATAAGAGAAATATTTAAATTCCCTGTATTATAATACAATACAATGTAATATAATAATGAAATTACTAAATAATTAATGCTTGGTTAAAAATTGTGTTGTTATAATATTTAGGTGTATATATTATCTTATAATACCAATATGTAAAAGTATAATTAATGAGTATAATTGTACAGCTCTAAATCTAGCGGTTTTAGTACACATTTTTTTTTATAGCTATATCATTACATTTATTACGAACCCATTGTATAATATATTTTGCGTACTACGATATCAATAAAACAATGAATTTAAACTATAATATGTAGGTATATAATTTACGATTTTTTTACGTTTTTTACGTTGAACGTAATGTTATCTCGCCTTGGTACGTCAATTTTAAATATTTTATAGTCCGTTAAATGAATAAATTAACAAAAAAAATAAAAATATTTTACTGTATACTGTATAGTATATACACTATATAGGTACACGGCCGATCCTAACCACTCTACGTCTCTACGTCTACTTTTAGCTCCGGACCAACAGACACCTATAAATAAGTTTTCGCTCTCTCACGAGAGGATTCTTGGCATGTCGAATCCTCTGTCTCTGTTATTGTCGCCAAATAATAAATAAATTTAACCCTTCTGTCGTTACGCCGGTTTTTTTCCGGCGCCCGTTCACACGTGAATCAGCCATTATTTCTGAGGCAAATATTCAAAATATGTTTGGCCCGATCCGTTTTTGATAACATTACATTATTTTTTTTCAGGGATCACGTATACGAACCTGTGACGCCAGCAGCCAGCACTGATCGGATATCTCCGCCCGTCGTGAATCCGTTAAAAGACGATAACCGTCATTTTCTACGCATACCATTGACGGAAGAACTCGTAATGGCTGACGACACGGGTTCGGAACCCGAAAGCGAACAACAACAACATCGACAACGACGACCAAACAGAGAGAAAGAAGACGACGAAGACGATGAAAACGATGACGACGATGACAACGACGACGACGAAGAAGACGACGACGGAGAAGAGGACAATGACGACGACGATGGAAATGTTGATAAAAAAAATGTAAGATCCGACGAATCGATTTATGAGGGTGAAAACGAAAACTCGTCCATGGGCGATGTAGAGTCCGGTAACACGCGCATGAAGGTGTTCCAGCAAAAAGTCAAAGTCAAAGCAGACATACTGCGCTCCAAGTTGCAAGGGGTGACCAAACGGAAGCCCAAGCAAAAAATAGTCATGGACACGCCCAACAGCGAAAAGCCCCGCCGCAAGTTCGGCCAGTTCGCCACTCTGCCGAAAAAGTTCACATTCAATGCACCCAAAGTGAACTTCTCCACGGCCTTTGGACACTTCTCCCGGAGATCCGCGGACCCGAACGAATCTAGTACGGACGAGACGAAGAGCGTTCGAGAAGAGACGAAGAGTGGTCGGTTCTCTCTGCCACGTTTTGGATTGTCTAGGACGTCATCGGAATCTCCGAAACCGTCAAAATCCATAAAAATCGGTGGCTCCCGGCTATCTATACCGGGTTTCCGGCCCCGCACTTGGTCCGACGCGTCAAAAGTGTCGAAGCCGGACAGTCCAAAACCCCGGATAATGGATTTCGGTACTTACCCGAGAATATTTTCGAAACGCAGGAAAACCAACGCGGCGAATAAAGCAAAAACGCCACCACCATCATCCGACGGAGGAGAGCCAGAATCGAATAACTACAAGCGGAAGGACTCTTTCCATCGGCGCTTCTTTCGGTCACACAAAGAGTCAACACCGGCTCCGACGGAAGAACAGACTGCCACGCTGGCTGTGGAAGAAGAGCTGGACGAGCCACCACTGCAAGTATCCAAGGAATCGTTGGCCGAATTTGGAGACAGCGATCTACAGGAGGTGATATCGCTGAGCGACGACTGCAGCCGATCGAAGGACGCGAAGAGCTTGTCCGAGCACCGGGCGGGCGTGATCGAGGAGATTGATTCTGATGAGTTTTTCCTGCGTGAGAAAGGTCTGAGTCGCGGTGACGTGCACATCAGCAATTACCTGTCGTCGGAGATCAGAGACGTGTTCCGGTCGAACCGGACACGGTCCGTGGAAGGTGTTAACGACAACGACAACGGCAACGGCGGGGTCTCCAGAAATAACCGCGAGACCAGTAGCGGTATCGCCACGCCGGTTAGACCGTCGCGGACCAATTCGCTGAGGAGACCTAACCGGCACACTGTAACCGACGCGAACACCGAGCGATCTTACGTCGCTGATCGGTTCAGCACGATGCCGAAATCGTTCGGCGGCACTAGGTCGTTGAAGAAACCGGAAGACGACACGCCCGAGAACATCATCACCAGTCAGACGTTTGAACCGTCGCAAAATCCAGTGCTCCCTTCGGGAGTGCCCTGGAGGACTTCTGGCAGGCAGACTGCTGCCTCCACCGTCGCACACATGCCGCCAAAACCACCGACCAGACAACGCATGTCCAAGTTTTCCACGTTTGACACGAGGTCGATGATTGATTTGTCCAGAAAGAGAAGCCAGTCACAAATCGTAAGTATTCATTGTACATAACATAGTAACACACCGCATACTACATAGATAACTTTTAAATTTCTGCACTAGACACGCCCACGTTTTCTCGATATAACACAGACTACACTTTTTACTTATATTTTATTCTAAGAGTGGTTGTGTTGAACAAATAAGCTTGACTGACATATTTAACAGGATACACACTGTTTACGTTAATCGTTTATTGTGGTAAAATAGAAAACCAAAATACCAACACCTAATTAATTACCGAAAACAAAATTAAACAAATAAATAAATATCAAACAAATATCTCGTAAATCACCGAAAAGCTGCAATCAATTCTAATTTATTACGATAAGCCATATGTATATTAAATTTATATATGTTTAGTGTTTACTATTAACTATTACGGCCATATTGGTTTCAAGGTGGAGCTTTAGTCAATTCTTGGTATACTCGGTTGCAATTTGGTTTACCTTTTACATGATACCTGCCAGAAATGAATGTCCAATCACAATACGATTTGATCGACACTATACACGACACACGACGTGTATTACTTTTAAGTATTAGATATAATTAGATTTTTTAACCTTCACCGTCTACCACGTGAAATGTGAATAAATGTGTATTATAAGTAAATACTCTAATAAAATATGCGTTTGCATATGCCTATATATTTATGTAATTTTTAAAAGCACAATTTGCACAATTTTAAGAAAATTACAAAAATATAAGAGAAATCTAAGATTATTTTGTGTAATACAAACAAGTCAAAAGTAAATTGTTATTTTATTTTCTTGCTGACATTTTTATAAATTTAGATTCCAAAAGGAGCAAAGAATACATTGGTTTTTCAATGTCTTTTATTTTACCGTTTTCAAGTTTTTAATCAGGAGATTTGTACCAATCATCTACATAGAGCTATATAGGGTGGTTACTGGTATAATTTATTGTTTAGTTGAACTTTGGACTTCGGGTCAGATATAGCCACATAGGATATTATCAGGACTTTTTCTAATAATTATTGTAAATTAATAAAATTGAGGAAAACTAACAAATGACACTAATGACAACCTGTGAACGCAATATTACGCAACACCTCTTCGACAATTCGATTTCGTTTTTTTTTTACAAACACATTTATAATTTATGAACTTCAGTCAAAATACTAAAAAGCTTATAAAATTAAGAACTAATAGTTCTACACAAGTTTCTCTTACAGCAGTTTAAAAATATCTAACTATATTTAACTCATAGTAGGTATTTTTTATAAGCGTATAAAATTAAAGTTTGATAATTCAACGAAAAATAACGATTTTTTCTCAAACGGTTTAGTTAGTTATAAGTAGATATTTTGTTGAAATTAAAAAATATAAAAAATATTGACCAGACTTAAATACTTCTCAATTATTATTATTATTTATATTCACAATAACATTTTCAAAATCATTAGACTAATTTAAAGCTATTTATACCACTCGAACCTATTCACAACATTCAACGGTAGGTACTAGGCAACGCTACTATAAGTACATCTGACCCAGTGGCATATAGGGGGTGGGCACATTAGGTTGTAGCCCCCCCCCCCCGAAATTACAGTCTTTTTAAATAGAACAACAATATATTTTATTAGGTACTGTTATAAGTTATAATATTTCATAGCCTGTTGAAAAATAACAAATACGAATATATTTATACTTTATAGAAACTGTTAAATATATAGTAGATGGTAGCCTCTAAGTAATAGATCACTTGCTAGTTTCTGTCTACTATAGCCCACCCCAAAAATTATTTCTATATACGCCACTGACAAACATCTAATAATATATATTAGTATATTCTGTAACGGAGCCCAAGGCTTAAATGTTTTGGAAAATTAGCTAGACCCCCTCCATGAAAAATTCATAAATACGCCACTAGGTGTGACTAGGCAAGTACACAAACAAAAAATTCGGGGTTGGGGGAGGGGGTTCATAGAGATTATCCTGCAGTATATCGAATTAAGTAATTACAAATAATGATAGAATAAACAATAAATGTAGCCCTAAGAAAGTAAGAAATAGAGGCTGATCCCTCTCCTTAGCTCATTTCGCATCGTTTTTCGTATACAACAATAAATCATTAAATTCAAAATTAATAACATATATATATCATATATATTACAATTATCTTCACAGCTACACAATAACGAGGGCACTCGAAACATAGATAGACATAGTATGCAGCTGAAGTGAGTTCTCTAGCATTTTATTTTATTCATACCCACCAAAGTTGGTCGTATCGTTTAGTTTTTCCATATCTTTGTAAGCTTTTACCCATCGTATAACTCAAGTGAATAGTTTTATTATTTCATCCCATTTTGTGTTTCTCATTTATTTAAAAAAAAACATTTTTAAATGGCTTCTTAATCCAGTCAATTGACTCTCCTCTCAAAACAAGTTAAAAATATACTTTAGCTAAAAAATAATTCACGATGATTATTATTATATTGTTGTGTGGTCAAACGTTATTAGGACCTCGGGGGGGGGGGGGAGGCTGGAAAATAGGGGGCCGTTGAAATGAATTGTTAATTTTTTAAATTTTGATAGGAATAGGTACTTATTTTATGATATAAATGTATGTTAATACTTAATATATATTAAGTAATTTTGTTATTTCAAGGTATGGGTTATCACTGATTACCTAGAAATCGTATATATGGGACGCCCGTACCACTTGTAGAGGATAGTATTTTATTGGAAGACTTGTTTAGGGCCTGGAAAAATATTTAGTAAAGCACCCTTTGATTTTTATACTACACAGTTAACAAATTGTATTTAAATGTAACAATTTTTTGTTTTCATCACAGGGATTCCAGCCGTCAATGAATTTTTCGGAGACTGTGCCAAAAGCGCCGATGCGTCGGTCTAGGACTTCGTTGGCCGGTTCCGACCACGATATTTCATCGGCGGTGGCTGATTATGGAGGCCGGCCTTCGTGGGCGGTCAACGGTAACGGCGCAGGAGTGCCGACGCCACCGTTGCGCCGTTCGCGGATGTCGCTGTCTGTGGACGCGGACGTTGAAGAGCGGTCGGCAACGGCCGCCTACGCTGTAAACGGTAGTACGTCCGCGAGGTCCGCGGGATCCACGCCTCCACGACCACCGCCGCCGCGGACGACGACAACGACATCTTCCGCAGTCGCGGGTTACGCGACGGTGGACAAATCGTCGCCATCCACCGCGACACTACTGTTACCGCCACAGTCACCGATGCGGCACAGACGGAAAAAATCATACGACGTGATCAAAAGCCAAGAGTTTGGGGCATTTTTCACCATACCGAGGTCGTACAGCTACAGCGATAGGAATGCACGGCCGTCCACGACTGCAGACACTAACAGCGCGGCTAAACTACCACCGCCATCGAGACCCGCGCGCGCCTACAACACACTGGGACCGTCTCGACCGCTCCGGCGCCGGTTACCGGTCAGCGAACACGAGTATGGCGACGTGGCCGACGACGGCAGTGGCCGCCACCGTCATGACGACGACGACGGCGACGGCAGGAACGACGGGACGGCCAAAGCGGCGGCGGCGTTGTGCTCGGGCGACGTGATCGAAAAGATGAAACTTCGGCCGTTGCCATCACCGCCACCACCTCCGCGCAAGTCGAGAGCGGCCGACGACATGGCCACGCCCGAACCCCAACGGCGCAGAAACACTGATTCGGCCCTGGTCCCTTTTTTAGATCGGCGAGAAACGTCTGCAACATCGTCTAACGATTTTTTTGCCGACGTTTCTCGTGCGCTGCTCGCATCTGCCGCCAAAAACGCCGTTGCTACCTGCGCCGACGACGTGTCCGTGGCCGTTCAGACCGATCCGTCGCCAGCAGCTGATGATTACTTGTCGGACGACCATCGCGATGACGGGTCCTGCTATTCGGCCGATTCTTATGACCGGCCGTCGAAGTCTACAGCAGCAGCAACGCCACGACACCTGGCTCCAAAAACGCTGACCACCACCGCCTCCACCACTGACCGACCCAGAACCCGGTCGTCGTCCCAGGTCACCGAGTACGTTGACCGGCCGACGTCCGGCATGTCAGTAACCGCAGCAGACGACTGCAGCTGCAACGGTTACGCGATGGTGTCCGACGCGGCTGCTGAAGGCGGTGTCGCTGCAGTGCGCGCGCAACGCATAACCGTCGAAGAGTTGCAAGTGGGCAGGATGATCGTGGCCGACATACTCGGTCAGCGAATGGCCGTCGACGACATGTCCGGATCTAGTCTGAAGATCGCTCAATTCGCCGTTGCGGCTCAACATCCGTCTCTGCAGCCGGACGCCACGGCCGCCGTTCAAGCCGCGCCTGCATGTGCAGACGACCCGATGACCACGCACGTTCAGCAGCATATGCAGGACGACGCCGCGTCGGTTCAGTCTTCGCGAGTGTCGTCCATGTACCCGGAAGTGGATTCGGACGAGGACCGAGCCAGCGTGTTGGCCGCGCCCACGCCACCACGTCGACGCAGCAAACCTCCGTCCTCACCGCGTTCACCCCCCACCTCCGACCACCACGACCAGGGCAAAAACGGCTGCAGGCCATCGGGAACCGTTAGCGCCGTCGACCTGTCCACCGCCGACCCGTCCATCACTGAACTCAGCTGTCAGCTGTTCCGATTGTGCCACTCAAACGTGTGCAGCCTGTTCACCAAAGTCGTCCAGCAAGTGGTCCCCGAGGACACGGAGAAGAGGCGCGACCTGCAAGCCGCCCTGTGCTTCCTGAGCATCATACTCGCAGGTCTACTGATCCTGGGCTTCGGCAACGAGAAGACCATCCACCACCACCACTGGGACTTTCAATTTCCTCCCAATCAGTAGTCACACGCCAGTTGGGCGTTGTTGAGCTACTGTTGTTATTAATGTTGTTATTGTTGCTAACCGATCGTTGTTTCTTTAAGTTTTGCATTTCGATATTTTAATAATTCAATTGTTGTATAGCACGATTGTTAAAAGATATCTTTACCCTACATAAAAACAACAGTCGTTTTTGTCATTGGCCGGCTGGTAAATGATACATTTTAGAGCTTTAATTCAAAACACTTAACACTTACGGGTTTCGTTTATGTACCTACGACATACCTAACTTTTTCCTAAGGGTTTCGTTTTACTCATTTTTTTTTCTAAAATATTTTTGCAATTCATTGTTGTCTCATTTAAAAACTACGTTTTATTTTCTGTTTTTAATCATTCGAACAAACCATTAACAGAAAATAGTTGCCGTTATACTCCAGTGGAGATTAGAACCCAAATATTATGTAGGTAGGTAAGCGGTACATCGAGCTTCGTAAGAATATTAAAAACATTTTATCGATTAATTAAAAATTTAAATGATATTCCGCTATTTTATGTTTAACGGGGTAACGCAAAGTGAATTCAACACACTTTCGATTACCCTTAATGTTTAGAATAGAATAAACCTAGTATATAATGTTAAGTTCAACTGATTCAAGTAGAAATGCTGAAATAAGCTATTAAGATTTATCAGTAGCACGTATTATTAAATGCAATTTACACTTATGTCTCTACACTAGCGTGTAAAGTACAAAACTTCAAATTTAGAACTAAATACAATAAGTTTGATCAGAGGATAACAGTTCTACAACAGTATAACTTCTACTAAGTCAGTAGTCACAGGTTCTGTACAAACTCATAAAGGTGAAATCATAAAATATTTAATTTACATAAGTAATTAGGCATTTCTGACATAGATGTTATTTTATTTATTAAAGGTATTGTTTCATTAAGTCCTTATAAGTAGATAAATGCAAAACTATCATTATCATTTTTAATTTGTATGATTATTAGTTATTGATATTCAGTGGCGGCGGGAAATTGTATATTTTAAATATTTTTGCCACTGTACCCTTCATTGAACCAAAATTAGCAGCAGGGGCCATTAATAATTTATAATTATAATATTTGCCATGATATTTTTGTTGGGGTCTAACGATTATATATATATTTATGCACCCACCCACCCAGATCAAACATGAAGCAATTGCTTCAAATAATCCTATATCCCGCCGCCACTGTTGATATTGGTTAGATTATAAATCTCCATTGATACATCAATAACTGAAATCTCAAAGTAATATTATTTATTATAAGCCATGTATTTTTGTAACTACAATAGTAATGTTACAATTATTACAAAACTTAATTTTTGATGTCATCATTATTGAATTCATTTTATTAAGTTAACAACATATTTTAATGAATTCATAAAATAAACAGCAATATTTTTTTTTTAATAAAATAGTTTATAAAAATTACATCAATATAATAAATTACATGAACATATTTTTTTAACACTCAGTCTATTATAAAAGAATGTATTATATAATAAAAATCTAAAATAAATAAAAACAACTTTTTAAAATAAATCATCGTATGTCACCAGTGAACGATCATCTCGTTGATTTCCTTTTTGTGATTTATTAGTAGCTAGAATCCAAAAATTAAACACATAAGTTTTAAAAATTAAAAGCAGTACATCTGTATTATGTTGTAAACATATAATTTATTTGTTTATATTTTGCAAATAAAAGTATATTTTCACCATGAGTTTAATTTTAACTCATTTTTTAGTTAAATAATTTAATTTTGATTCATGTTCTTCAATCATATCTGATATTCGAACACTTTTAAATTACATAGTTGTTGCATGACAAATGACAACAGAAGTATGTAAAAATAGACATAATATATTTATGTTAAAGGTTCCAGAATCTTAATATGTTATGTATCAAATGATTCAAATGTTGTAAATTGTAATATAATAATGTTATAGGTAGTGTTCAAGAAGTGGTAGTGTTTAACAACTAATTGATGATTATATTATATATTTCATAAGTTGGATATTTTTATGAATTTAATAAAAGTGAAAAAAAAAACTAAAGTGTGATATACTTTCAAATCAAAAACTTCCCCAAGCATGCTCCGTGCTCATCATTATTTTCCTTTAATGGAGTTTGTAAGTATACATTTGGACTATATTTTCAATTATTTAGATTTTTATACCATTTAAGGAATGTCCTATAACGATACTCAGTTATATTTTTCAAATGAGCAAATGAGAACCCATTTTTTTTTACTGAAATTGTGTTATACATCCTGTATACAATAATTTGACTATTTAAAAAACAAATATATAAGATATGAAACAAAGCTTATCACTCATTGAAAAATTATAAATATTTTTTTTTACATGACCAACTTACTGACAGTAAGGAAAAATAGACCTCGTGACCACTAATATAACAATTCAAGATCTACTTAGCATAGAATCATAGCAGGCATAGCCACCATCATTTTAATTAGACAATGAATTATGGGTAGTCTGCTGATAGAAAACAATTAAATATAGGTATAGATACACATCAGAAGCATGTGGTAAATCGTAACACCACTAAAAGTCTTGGTTGCAATTATCGCTCAGAAGTATATATTTTTTTTTACAGGTATACTATTTATTTATAGCAGATCAAATTAGAAAATGAATCTATATTATGATGATAAGTTTAAAGATCTAAAATTTAAATGTATATTTTGCACATTTTGTCAATTTAAGAAAAAATGTTCTGCAATTTTTATTATATATATTCGGTAATCAGTATAACTATAGGTATAACAAATAAGTGATTATTCGCCTCAGTTTTCCTCCCCTTTCATGCCCCTCCATAAACACGACGTCACTTGAGATAAACATAGCCATGACCCTATCCATTTCTTTATTATCTTCGAATCTACACACATAGTTGAGTATTCAAACACACAATTTAACTAAAAAATCAATCTCTACTATAAAAATATATTGAGTTCAAACTTAAATGTATATTTTTTCTCCATTTTTTACATTATTCAAATTATTATATAAATATTACAAACCAAGAAAAGATTTTTTAATATTACAATTAATACAAATTTCTAATTAATTATCACTTACTGTACCTATATATAAATGTACTATACACATATATTATAATTAATATAAAGAATTCCAAAAATTGAATAAACAATTTAAAATTATTAATAAAGCGCTTACCAATGGCATTCCAGGAATTAATTCCTTTATCGCCAAATTCAATAGGCTGATTTCGTGAAATAGAAACTTTTAATTTAATACCAGAGACTGTGGTGGTGTTCATCTATGTAAACATTTAAAATATATATAAATAATAATAATATGTTTTCAGGTATTTAGAATTAATTACTTGAGCTACTGCTTTATCAGCAGTGTCTGGGGAGTTGAACGTGATGAACCCTCGACTAAAATAAAATTTGTTTAATGAATTAGATTTTTAAGTAAGTAAACTATTAAAAACTCACTTTTTTTCTATTTCCATTGATATATTAATTATTGTACCAAATTTACTAAATGTAGATCTTAAAAATTCTTCAGTCATTGCACTACTTCCTCCAACAAATATAGTGATGTCCTTACGAGTGGGTTGTTCGGGGACTGGTTCTGGTGAACTCGGAGCTGGTGGAGTGGTTTTAGAAGTGGAAGAAACAAAACTACTATACAAATTCTGCAAACATAAAAAGTGTTAAATAAAACCATAGATTATTCCAACAAACAATATTATACATACAGTGAATTTAGTAGTAGGGGTTGCTTTTGGAGTGCTATCGGGAATGACTTCAGTTGTTTTGATGACCGGTGAAGCTGCCGAAAACGGTTGATAGCTACTTAAAGCCTGAGTAGTAATCAACAGTTTGCGTTCCATTCCACAAGGTCTCTTAAATGATTCCTGATCTGTACGATTGGGTACTTTTTTTATCGGTCCTATAGCACCAGACTTCAATAGTTTTTTCGCTATTTCCCTTGCGTCCCGAGCTGTTTCTTTGGGCCTTTTGGGATTGAGTACAGGCGAAGGCTCAGGTTCAGGTCGAGGTGTTTTTTGCACTTGCAATGCTTTTTTCTGGATAAAGAGAGAATAAACGTTATACGTCGAGAGTTATAAGACGATGTTAGTATCTGAATAAAATTACCTTTTTTCTCAATTTTTGATACTTGTTTTGCAGCATGAGTTCTTCTTCTGTCAGATTCGTCGGAAAGTGTAAGTACACCATCTCGACAGACAATTATTCGAATGTAAATATGTAATTTACGAAACTACTGAAAGATGCCGAAAGACTACCGTAGTCGTCTATTGACTAATGACTAATCGGCAATCGCAGTTTGAAACTTTGAAACTTGAATTGTTTGAAAAATCTTAAAAGTTAAAATACCAGATTTGACATCCGTTTGACGTTTACCGACGAATGACGATAACAGAAAGTAAGCAAATGTGATACCATTATCAGCGTCCAGACCACAATTTATTAGCATAATAGCACGGACTAAGATAATATACAGGACTGGAAACGGAGTATTATATCAGTGGAACCCAAATGTTTTCATATGGTACATCACGGACACCCAGCGCCATCTATTTAGTGGATTTTGCATTGAACTAAAATAATATGAATACCAAAACAATTTTTATTATAATTATTATAACATAATATTATTCTTTATTTCTTTTCAACATAGGTAGGCATTTTACATTAAAAAATATATATTTTGAAACAAAGATATAACTGTTGCCTATGTGTGAACTAATTTTGCAAACTTTTTGTATATCTTAGTCCGTGGACAAGACATATCAATAATTTTATTTTAAAATTATGTTAGCAAATAGCAATATAATATATCATTATTTTTACTATTTTTATTTTTGAAATGTTTGTAATGTCGTTGCAAAGGTTTTCAAAAAAATTTATACTAAATTACACATTGTTACAATTTACAGTTCTAATATTATAATAAAAATGTTCATTATATAGTATTTAATACTATTTATACTATATTTATACCATTAATATTTATTTTACTTCTAGAAAAGATATATTAAACAACTTGGACGAGGGTTATAGACATTTGTACTAAGATTTATAATTTGTTTCTACTGGATTAATCTTCTTTGGCCATCCCTGAACTGAATGTTTCAAATATATTATTGATAGGAGTATAAATGAATCTTATCTTATAAACCCCTATTTAATTATTTCTAGTTAAATTAACTGCTATTTATCTTTAAAAAAATTATAGTAGTTTTGTTCACTAATATGTTATTATAAAATTACAGAAATAAACAAAAATTGTTGGAATTTGGTAATGACGTAATGTTGAAGATGAAGGAGAATAACCAATGTTTTTTTATTTCTGATGAAATTTTTTATTTTTAATAACTTATTTTTGCAATCATTTAACACAATTTATCATCAATTAAACTTGTTATTAATTACACCCATTGTCTTTTTAAGAATTGCTAATTTATAAATATTTTTTTGTGATTTTATACCTTGTTATTTAAATACATTTGTATTATGATATAATAATATATCAAATTGTGATTTGTTTTCTTATAATAAAGAGTTCTAGACTAACACATATGTATATTTTTGGGATTTGATTGTTACTTACACAGGATTTAGCCATTGCATTTGTGTACCTACTCCATACTTTCTATTCAGTTTTGTGTAACTTGCTTCATAAGCAAAACTGATTAAATATTTTAGCATATCTTTTTAATAGGTATTTACAGTGGTGTTTTGGAGGGTATACGCGGGTATACGACGTATACCCTATCACCAGTTTACTGATTTAGCGTATACCCTGTAAAATTACTAGAGATACGCAAGTATACGCGCGTATACCCACGTATACCTTCAAAAAACTTAAGTAAAATAAAATAGTAATTGCTTCCAAAAAAATATTTTTATCTTTATTATTGAAAATTATCAAATTTTTTTTAATTATAATCGACTAATAACCATAATATCAATATCAAATTCATATATTTACAATTATAATCACGGATATGGATACAATTATTTAAAACTATCAACGTTATGGACACAGTCCACAGATATTTTTATAATATTATCTGTATAGTTATGGTTGACTTGAGGGACTGCCATGCCGATTATAAGAATGATATTGTATTTATTGGATCGACAGCGGCTTCAAAAACAAAACAGTTATTCACAGATGCCTTATCACAATCAGTTAGATTTGGTAGAAAACAGCGACATTGATAAGAATTTGCAGATAGACAGATGACTATAGAAGTCAGTCAGTCAATTATTTTATATTTATGAAATTATGTAATATATTACTATTCAGAATATATTCTTAGTAAAAAAGATTTTATTTAATTACCAATTGTCTTATAATAACAAAAAAACATCAAATTCACTGCTTAGAGAATGTTCAAAATCGTTTCATACGTTTTTTAGCATACAAATGTAATGTTATACGAGAGTCACATTCTCCTTACCAGCCATTATTAAATTTGTTTGAACTTGATACTTTATCGGATAGAAGAAAAAAAATAGATTTGAAAATTTTATTTAAACTAGTAAATGGTTACACTGATTGTCCAGAACTATTAAGTTTCCTCAATTTTAACGTTCCTCAACCATAGATAATATAAGAATGGATAGGACATGCCTATACCAGTTCCATATGAGGCCGTGTGCTTTTTTGGGGAAGAGAGAAAGACTATATGAGGCTTTTTAAGGTTATGTGCAAAACTATTTTATTAAATAATAATAATAATAACATGATAGTCAGTTATATTTAGATATTTGTCAGTTTGTATTTTGATTGTTGTGCCACCTGTGCCTGGAAAATGGAAATTGGAAAATAATATTTTAACAAAATGAAATTATATAAATTTTATTTATTATTATTTATCAATTATCATATCAATATTTGCCTTATATAACCTTAAAAATAGTATCACTAAATTTTCATGTGATAAGCTCTTATGCCCTATCCATTCTTATATTATCTATGTCCTCAACGCAGAACTAGGTCTAATAATACTTTTTATATAGGTTCTCAAAGTACAAATTATTTATTATCTTCACCTATAAACAGAATTATGTCATTAGCGAACGATACCAACATTGATTTATTTAATTTTACTTCCTTGGAATCTTTTAATAATTATGTTAATAGATCTTTATGTTTTTAATGGATTTTGTATTATAATTATAATTATTATTCTTGTATTATTGTGGTTATTATTATTGTTACTACTATTTGTATAATTAATATTAATTTCAATATTGTACTATTATATATATATATTGAACCTGGATCTTACGATCCGTTAGAATTTTAAATAAATAAATAAATAAATAATAATTGTTAGAAAAATGTATTAGATCAATTATTTTACTGCTTACATGGCAAACAGAACGAAATTATGTAACAAAAAGTAAGTTCTAACTCAGTGCTTGGAATGAACTCGTTCAAAGGAATCCCTTCCTTTGATTTCGTTCCATTTTTAGGAACTTATCGGGAACGTAGTTCCTTTTTCATGTTTAGGAACGTACTGAAATTTCGTTCACTTTTTAGAGGAACATGAACTATTTTTTTTCGTTCCTTTCTTTGTTCATTTATTTTTAAATAAAAGTAATTAAATATTTTTAAAACTAAAAGTAAAAAAATGTTTAGCTTCTATTAAAATTTAGTAACTAATATGAAGAGCTATAAAAATAAACCTGTATACGATATTATTAATAATGTTTACAAAATATAAATATAAATATTTATACAGCTTATTAATTATATAATTTAAAACTATTACTAAATTCCTAAATAACAATGTGTTATGTTTACAATTTTAAAATTAAAACAATTATAGTATAAACATGTACGATGTACCTATGTTTTTTTATTTTATTTTAAGTCACATTAAAAAGGAACGAGGAAAGGAACTAATTCCTATCTTCAAGGCAGGAATGGTAAAGAATTTAGTTTCTTTTTTAAAGGAAGTTTCTAAGCACTGTAACTCCATCTCATTCTGATGCAATATGTCTAAAATTCGTTTTCTGGGGGGGGGGGCTAGATAAATAAATCGACATATTATAAAGGCGCGGTGGTATACCGCACGACCCACCATAAGTTAATTTTATGTTTGTTTAGAAAATTTTTTTTTGAGCTTATGTGCTAAGCGTATACCCTAGAAAAAAATTACCAATACATCACTGGCGTATTTAGAATACCTACTTAAGATACATTTGATTTCAAGACATTATAGGCTGATAGACGATCTTCTATCAGAATTGCAGTGGCAGACTGGGAGAAAAAAACAGCCCGGGAAGATCATAATTTTAGAGGCCTGAAGTATACTAACGGCCCTTTATATAATATACCACAACAAAAACCCTTCGTAAACTACGTGTAAAAATGGCTAAGTAAAAAAAAATATTAGATCTTTAAGCACTAGAAAGATGTGATATCATGAATGCTAAGTATATTGAATTTAAGTAAACTTATTTTTTCAATAATTTATTTACTTGAAGAGGAATTATTTCTTAAAAGAAACAAAGTGTGATGAACAAAATATTAAATAATTAAATGGCGAAGGACTATTCAAATATAACTTATTATTATTTAAAAAATATTATTATTAATATTTATATACTATCTATATATATAAAAATGAATGTATGTCAGTGTGTCAGTGTGTCTGTGTGTCTGTGTGTCCATGTTACCATGGTTACCAAGGTTGCCATGGTTACTAAGGTTACCAAGATTTCATATCAATCTATATATATAAAAATGAATGTATGTCAGTGTGTGTGTGTGTGTGTGTCCATATTACCATAGCAACCATATCTGTATATAAAAAACAGTAAGCTGATTGACTGCTATCAACGCACAGCTCAAACCATTGGACGGATCTGGCTGAAATTTGGCATACAGATAGCTATTATAATATAGACGTGCGCTAAGAAAGGATTTGCCAAAATTCGCATTTTAAATAGGTGCTGAAACAGGGACATTGAGATTCACGATAGAAATTGGAAATTTTATTTTTATTTATTTATAGTTGCCATTGGTTACAGTCTACATTAGAAATTAGCATTTATTTATTGTTTGCCATTGGTTATTCGGGCAGATCAGGTACAAGCTTGCATCAAATCGAATTATTGAACAATGCTTACCAGGGTGCAGAGTTGCACTTACCGCAGAAAATTACACCCAAAAGGAGTTCAACAATCATAATTTT